CGTCATTTGAGTGACGACACAAGTGCAGATTTATACTCTACTATAATAAAATGTTATCTTTTTTGATATAAATTTGAATAAATGAATGTGTTCTAGCTATATAAAAATTTACACCAAGCTAAAGTATATAAAAATGCTATAAAATATAGCAGGATAACAATTAAAGCGGTTTTTAACAATATGTCTTATAGAGGTGTAAAAAAAGTGAACCAGAACTCCCTTTTTCGCTTTACTTATGTAAGGCACATTTGCAAAGATAATATTTATAAAATCAATTTAATAGCTCTTTAATTAAAAAAGTCTAGGTCCAATCACTTATTCTAACTTTGTCTATTCGATAATTAATAAATTTTCTTTGGATAGCTAGTGATGAAAGTAGAAAAAGCGTATATTAAAATTAGAAAACTTAAAAAAATAAAATAAAAAAAAATGTAAAAAGTTGTCATGTCAAGCTTAGCTTATAAAAGGTGTTGTATCAAACTTGTAAAAAGTACTGTGTTAAGCTTATAGAAAGGTGCCATAGTATCATAAAATAAAGTGTCGTAGCGTCATGTTGAACTTGTATAAAAATTTGTTAAATTTGATTTAAAATATCTAGAAAAAGTTTATTTTAAGATTAGGAATCTTTACTTAAAAGTTGACAAGTCAAGTTTTTAAAAGATGTGTTAAACTTATACATAGAAAGGTGCTATAATATCAAAAAAAAGTTCGTAGTATCATGTTGAACTTGTATAAAATTTCAAAATTTTTGATTGGCTAAATAATGCAAATCATCACATGGTTGAAGTAAAATCTAATTTTAGCAACAATTTTTTTTACCATGGCTAGGGTACTAGTTAATGCCTGTATAAAATTACATAATTATATAGAGTTTGTGATTATATAGAAGGTAATTATATAGGAGGAAGACTGTATTACAATCAAATGCATCTATATCTATATCAACTCTTCTAAAATATAATATAGCTGATGTTAATAATTTAAATGCTGCTGCTATTTATCAACAAGAAATCAAAGAATTCTTGGAATCTACTGCAAAATGTCTTCAAGAATTATAGAATAAGGGAGATAACAAAAATCAGGTGATTTTTTAGAGGAGAGGGGTAAAAAATCCAGTTAAATCTAGGTTATCATAGATCCGTAACTTTTGATACCAACATTATTCCACTTGAACAAGAAAAAAAACAGCGGTGGAAACAATTATACAAAAGTTAAACTATAAGATATGGAATATATAGCGTGGTTACCTATTTTATAAAGTATATAATGTATGTTTAGTAAAACATTTATACAAATTTCTTAGAATTTCTATTGCTTACTTATGTATTATTTGTGTACCCACATAAATATAGCTTTTATAAAATTTAAAATAGGTGATACCCGTATACTACGCTTTATAATATTAAAAAGTTTTTTGTATAAGTTAAAAAAAAAACTCGGTGTAAATATAAGGGCCATACAAACTTATACTATTGGTTTTCATATCACCAAGTAACTTTTTGTGACCCGGCGACCCGGCTTTTAATTTTATTTTCAAAAAATTTTATATGTAAAAAACATATAAAATTTTTTTACAAAAATTTAAAAAAGTCCACCCGGATAATAAATATAGTAAAAAAATTTTTTCAAATTTTTGTTGAATTTGACCCGGCCGGGTTATGAGAACCAATAGTATAAGTTTGTGTGGCCTAAGTATTAAAGTATTAACTTTTTAATTAAACAGCATATATATATGTATCTTAAAGTTTTTATTTATTTATTTAATACCTGTACTGAATATTATTAAATCTATACTTTCTCTAATTCTTTTTCTAGACTTTAGTACCGGCTTTGAGTTTCACTAAACTTAACCTATTTTATTACGCGAATAATACGAATAATAATAAACGGTAACGGTGAGACGGTAATACCTACGGTAATGCAATAATGTTAAATCAATATCTACGATGATCGACAGGTTGGTAAATCGGTCCGTATATAGATTTAATAAACCGGGATTTGACTAATGCTGTTGTTCCAAACTCTATTTAATAATTTATAGATTCCTTATAAAGCAATTGCTTACCAATCAATGGATTTTTTTAAGCTTCAAAAAATAACAATTTGTAAACAAATATTACGTTTTTTTATGGAATTGAAGAACCATAAAAGGGCTTAACGTTAAACCAGGTTCTACCGAAACTTTTCAGAATTATTAAAGTTGTTATATACCAAATACACTAAAAAAAAATAAAAAATAAAATGACAAGTGCTGAATATTTTAAAATTTCTCCTACAAATCTCAAAATTCTCAAAGAACAAGCAATAGATTGGGCACTATCTCATGGTCTAGTTATTCGCACCAATTCTAACTCAACCTCGACAACAGTTCATGCCCCAATTTCTTTGTTTCCATCGCCGTTTCCTAAGAAAGAATTCGAGTTTGTATTAGAGTTGCAACCGATTTTTAACTTGTTGTTTCATAAACTGTCAAATGATCATGAATTTATTGAAAAAGTTATTGGAGAGTGAGTGTACATTATTAAATCTTATTTTTAAGTTTTCATTGGATTGATTTATATTTAATTTGTAGATTAACAGACGTTGATGATTTCGTCGGGAAACTTTACGACATATATAGCACCGTTAGGAAAGAAGGGATTACACAAGTAGAATACCTAAATTTCTAAGCGCCATATTTTTAAAAAAATTCAAGGCGCTATACTAATTATATAAATATATATTTTCTTTTAGCAAATTTCTCTAGGCTTGCATAGATCAGATTACATTTTACATCTGACTCCAAATTCCACTGAAGTGCACATTCAACAAGTTGAATTTAATACAATTTCATCTTCATTTTCTAGTTTATCAACGTTGACTAGTGAATTGCATAAGTATGTTATACCGTTATAGGTATTAAATGAATGGTTATTTATGATCAAACTTAGCGTTGCGGGTTAAGTTGTTTTTAAAATTCGAAATGTTTCACCTGATGAAAATAGGTTTCGTCAGGGCGAAAGTTTCGATTAACCCACAGCATTAATCAGGATGGATAAAGTAAATAATATGATCTTAATACTTTTTGATTTACCTTAATATCCTATTATTTAGATATCTCTTGGAATCAACAAAATATTTTGATGTATCTCCAACACTTAAACTTGATGCACTTCCGAAAAACGAAGCAATGATAAGTTTGCCGAAAGGCATTGCAAAGGCTCATCAGCTTTATGGCTCTGAAAGGTAATATAATATTTTTAATATATTTGTGTAGTCCATTTGCATAATAAGAAAAATTATTAATAAATTCTGCTTATCAAATATAGCGCTGTAGTGTTGATGATTGTTCAACCTGTAGAACGAAATGCTTTCGATCAACGATGGATTGAGTATACTTTGATGAATAAGTAATAGTTAGCTAATCTTTTTTTCAATTATAGGTCATTTGAATATTTTCTAATATATATATAATATATAATTTTTTTTTAAAAAAATAAAAAGCCATAAGATACATCTTATGCGTAAAACTCTCTTTGAAGTCCAACGTGAAGGAAAATTAGACAAAGATACTAAAGCACTAATTATGTAAGTTTTGAAGATAAAGCTACGAAATTGATGGTTCAATTTTGATTTATTCTTAATTTCTTATATTTAATCAGAGATAATAAAGAAATCTCAGTCGCATATTTTCGTTCCGGATATGGCCCCAACGACCATCCGACCGAAAAGGTAATAATATCTTCCATTTTTATATCAGCATAATATATATATATATATATTGCAATTTTGTATATGAATTTAGGAATGGAATGCAAGATTATTGATTGAGCGTTCAAAGGCAATCAAATGTCCTACCGTGGCTTATCAACTTGTTGGTGCAAAAAAGGTGCAGCAAGTATTGGCTGTCCCTGGTGTTCTTGAGAGGTATCGTTATATTTCTGGAATATAATTAATTACTCACTGTTTCAACATCGTCTCTGAAGTATTTTATTTTATTCGATCAAATTTTTACAGATATGTAACTAATCCTTCAGATGTAACTAAATTACGATCATGCTTTGCGGGTTTGTATCCATTAGATTCTAGTCTTGAAGGAGAAGCAGCTGCGAAACTTGCCTTGGAGCATCCTGAGCGATTTGTGATGAAACCACAGCGTGAAGGCGGAGGTAACGTATTTATTTCACCTATTTATATGATAATATATCTCTATACTTTTATGTTATTGATATATGATAAAATTAAACAGGAAACAATATATATACAAAAGATATTCCTCAAGCACTTACACGTATGACACTATTAGAACGATCTTCATATATTTTAATGGATTTAATACAACCTCCAATGATGGGTAATATTGTTGTAAGAGAAGGTGAAGTTATTCAAGGTGAAATGATTTCAGAGTTGGGTATTTATGGCATCTTCATAGGAGGTAATAACGAAGATGAGGACGTAGTGATTAATGAGCTAGGTGGACATTTGTTGAGGACTAAGGGTAGAGAAACCAATGAAGGGGGAGTTGCTACAGGGTATTCTGTCATTGATTCACCTTTATTAATTTAATTAATTGATGGGTATTCTGTCATTGATTCACCTTTATTAATTTAATTAATTGATGGGTATTCTGTCATTGATTCACCTTTATTAATTTAATTGAATCCATTATTAATAATCCAATCAGACCTTATAATACGCCACTTTAAACCAATTACTATAAATATATAGAAAAAACCTCTATATAAATATAATCATTTATAAGCACATTAGTAGTAAAAGTCACTGTAGTCCCGACATTGTGATTATAAAAGGGTCTGACTGTACTATACTAATTCACTAATCTACATAATGGCTTTGTCGTTATAAAAAATACCAGTACCGTATAGGCGCGTAATAACGCGCATCTGTGCGTTATTTTGAGACTCTGCGCGTTATTTCGGAACGCGCATGCGCGATAATTAGAATAATTATCCCAATTTTAAAGAAAAAAATTACAACTACTAAAAACTTACCTGAGAATATCTATGTGGGGCGCGTTATTTCGGAACGCGCATGGGCGTTATTTTGAGTCAAATATGCGATTTTCAAAAAAATTAGAATTTTTCGAAATAGCGTTATTACGCGCCTATACGGTAAACATTCTAAAGAATGGTATTACTAATATCCAAAGATAAAAAAAATTAGTTCAAAAGGTTAGAATAGATTAAAGAGTAATCAGACTTATAATCTAGTGCTTTCTCTGACATAAAAACAAATATGATTTTTTGTAAAGAGAGCTAAATAACTGAATGCTACCAGGGTTGGGCACCCATAGAAGTAGCTAAACTAAGATAAAACTGATTACTAAACAGATAAGTAAGAAATTAAAAGCACTAAGTGTAGAAGTCTACAATGTGAGATTAAAGACTCGAACACCTGGTGTAGGTGAACTTACCTATCTCTTCGTTGAGTAGGATTAAAGATAGGAACTATAGATTGGGCCGTGGTAGCTAGGGATAAAAAAAAAATATATTTTAAACAGTTTTTTAGGTTTTTTAAAAACTTTTTAAACCATTGACGCTGAGTCTAGAATTCGGTCGAAGCTAGAACTGCCGCTTCTGATTATTAATTTAGCATAAGCTTTCACAATTAAATTTTTCAAAAACGTCCAGACGCGTGAATGTATATTTATTTATTTATTTTTTGAAATATAGTAAGATAAGATAAGTATAGTATTAGGCAAAAGAACACCTGTTAATGCGTATTAATATTAAATTTAAACGGTGAGTCGAATGCAAATGTTAAGCAATAATTAGAAGAAAATAATTTAATTTATTATTTTCGAAATAGACGCCCAAAATTTTAATCAACCTTAATAGTACATACAAATAGTGGTACATTAAACTTACCAACGAATTTTAATACACTATATACAAACTATATACTGTAAATTGTGGGTGGAAGTGCATACAGTATAGTCACTCCCATCTGTACCTTAAAGTGTCAATCCTATTATTGTAAGTTTCATCAGCTGTTAAATTTATTTTTGTCCTTTTAACAATTTCATGTAAGGACATGTCACCACTATAAAGTTGCTTAGTCTGATAATTTTTTAGCTCATCCTCGGTATTTGAACTCGCAGATCCATAATTATTATAATCAGCATTTGCACTATCAAGATTGCAACTTTCACCTTCGAAACCATCTGAATTTGATTGTTCATCAATAGTCGTGCTCGAAGATGGAGGATCTTTTTCTGAAATGATCAAATTTTCTAAAGTATTATATAATCTTTTCCAAATAAGATTAATATGCTGATCCGTAATATCTCTACAATATCGAATATCAAAATATCTCAAAGGAGCTCTACAATTAACCAAAAAAGAATCCAAAGCACGAAGAGTAAACATCCAAGGTGCTAAAATTTCCAAATGTTCCAAACTGGGCGGTAAAGATTTTCCTAATTGTGGCAGAATTGCATCAGCGACAACTTCCATATATCCCCAACTACTCACAACTAATTTATTTAATCTAGGACAATTATAAAATGGACATGATTGTAAAACAAAAAAATGTGATTGATCAAGTTTAATAGCGAGTTCTAATAAATCAAAATGATATTTTTCTATAGCATTTATGACAGTAGTTGTCGTTTCTGCCGTCATAATTATAGAAAGGTACATTAAAGATTTGCTCACATGTTGTAAAAGGGTATCAAGCAAATCTGGTTGGATGAAGCTGATACCTTCGTATCCGTTCATTACCAATTTTTTAAGTTTCATAAAAGAACCGAAACGAAAAGGTTCCATTACATATTCTTGATGTCGACAATTATTGAAAACCAAATTTTCTAAGTTTATTAAACCTGCTATAGAATTCAAAGGATGCCAAAATCTAAAGTCAACATGATAGAATTCAACAACAGTCAACGAATTTACCTGACTATTTAATGAAGAAAATTCAACATTTTTTAGTCTTGAAGAAGGACTCCACCAAAAACGACCAGGATATTCGACATATATAAATTCTTTCAAATGTTTTTGAGCATCAATAAGTTTAGATAAAGCTTCAAGCTCAGATTGTGCTCTTTCTGTACTCCATTCATCATTCATACACATACGTATAACTAAGGTTTCAATTTCATGACATGATGAGGCAGCATTAATAAAAGTTTGTTCACAATATTCATATCTTGCAAAGCAACCTAACACTTTAAGATTTGTGAAATTTTCATAAGATTCAGGTAGCGGTGGAATGTCCAAAAGTATATCATCGTCATCCAGATCACCAATAACATCTTGTTCATCATCTTCATCGCTATCACGATCACAATAGTCGGGTATTTCGTCAATAAGATCACTTCCATTATCCCAAAATAAATAATCGAATTTCGCACCTTTAACAATAAAAAGATTAAATAAACATTTTGCGATTGTTTTCATAGGGTCTTGACGAAATGGTCGCTTATGTCGTAAATTATTAGGATCACCGTACCATATAACGACGAAATCATATAAATCACGATAATTTAGTCTTTTTATAAATGATGGATAATTAAAAATTACAGAAGATTGATTTGAATCAGGTAATTTAATATTGAATTCTTGTAAAATAAGTTTATCTTCGATAGATATACAATCTATAGTCATACATGACCAATAAGTTTGTAAAAGGTTCGAAGAAGGGTTAAAACGTTTATAACGAAACGGTTGACGCCATAAGACGGGAACTACTATTTGACACCAGAGACGGTTTACTAACAAGCAAGAGTGTAATGTACGAATATTATTTTCTAGGAATTCTACTATTTCTTCAATACAATCTGCTGGTATTGGCGGAGGAACCATTGTTAAATTTTAAATAATTGATGAATAATTGATGAATATAGTATCGGTATGAGATTTTAGGAAAGATACCGATTGTGGATGTTCGAATTCAGTGATTTTATAGATCGTTATTTTCCCACGATATTAAGTCTGACACTTTGTAGATCTTTATTGACAGAGGTCAGCTGTTACGTATGATATTTATACTGTATATACCATATACGATTTTTATTAATTCGTACTATTGTGATGAAATATTGTTAACATCCCGATTTACGGAACATGATTAACGTTAACTGTTAAATTATCTTATCTAACGCTAATAAAATAAGTTAGTAGGTATCGTGCAAAAATATCACGTGCGTTATCTTAGCTTCCTTGTAAGAAGAATACTATTTAACTTATCTAATATAATTTGTATGATTAAAGGAATTAAGTAAAATTTCATACATTTTGGGCTGGTTTTAAGCGGTCAGGCACTTTTTTTTAATAAAATTTTAATCGAGATTCATGCCTGGTACAGTATAAAAAAAAAAAATTATATTTATTTTTATATTTTTAAACCAGATTGAAAAAGTATAGATGCGCCATTTAGTGTTTGTAGTCGACCCTTATTTATCGACTTGACTAAGTCGATATTTAAAATTCGGCTTAGCAGGCTAAGTCAAAGTCGACCAATATTGTTATCTTCGGAATTTATCGGAGATTTCATCGTGACCTTGTTCGTATTTTATGTTCGTTGATTTTTCTTTTCGGAAATTTCCGGTTCCTACTCTTAGTACTATGTACTAAGAGAGGTAATATACTTTACTTTAATCAACTAAGTCGATTTTTTGGACTAAGCCGGCTAAGTCGATAAAATCGACTACAAACGCTAACGCCGTTAGATGAATGCAAACTAATAAATTTACCGGAGATGAATGACTTTAATCTAGGGATATTAGTCGGGTCAAAATGATCGACTGACTAAGCCGATTTTATAAAAATCGGCTAAGCCGGCTTAGCCGGCTAGATATCAAAATCAGGTGATTTCCATTTACGTATATATATATTGTACAAATATCGAAGTATCGCAAAAATTTT